TAGCCTTAACCGACTTCTGTATGTTCTGTTTCCTAGCAGTTGCGTCAAGCTGACTATAGATGAAAGAGTTATCGATCCCAGCACGATTCATGATACCGACAACATACCTGAAAGTGGTACAAGAAAATTTTGGAGTAAAGCGAAAATTCACTTAGGGACTGGATTACACGAAAAGGAAAACGAAAAAATGATCATATCAGTTTCAACCCAAAGCAAATGAATGTGAAAACTCACTCGACATGTTTCATTGTGGCGCAAAACACTACGGTTTGCTTGCCTTCAGCATTCATCCGTCGGCATAGATGGAGCAAAACAGCGAGTTTTTCGTCAGCCCTGCATGTCACAAAAACCATCGATAAGCGTTCCGAAATCTTTTCGTCTACATCAAGGCGGACTAAAGAATGGTATAGGATTGTAACACAGGATTCTTAAACAAGCAGTTCGAACAGTAGAATTATGAAAAGACTAACCCAACATCGGATCTGACAGGCCGGCTTTAGCAAAATCGACTAACATTTTGGGAAGAGTTGCAGAAAACAACAGAGTCTGCCTGCTCTCCGGAATTCGCTTGAGCGTCTCCTGAAACATAAAAGGTTGAGAAGCTGCGGAAAAGCGAATGACTCTATATTTACCGTCAACTGGTCTTGGAAACCCATTTCAAACAGGCGGTCAGCCTCATCGAATACCACATACTGCACAAAACTCAGTCGTAAGTCCATTTCTACGATAACGTGTAATAGTCGACCGGGAGTGGCAATTAGTCTTAAATTGAGGAAATAACAAAAAAAAACGCATAGCAATAAAAAAGTCATAAAATAAAATGCAATTACAAAAGTATGCTGCAGAAGAAAATCCATATAAAGAAACGGATTATGGCTCACATATCAGGATTCTCATGTATCGTTGAAAACTGATCCTCTATAGCATCTCCTCCTACTAGGATAGCGCATCGCAGTCCGGTGAATCGTCCAAGCTTAACATAAGTAATATAAGATAAGCAGGAGTGAAAAAAGTAATGATACGATTAACTTCCAAGCCGAAATTCAGTACCTCTTTCACCACCTTGAAAGTCTGTAGTGCCAGTTCTCTCGTCGGTGACACCAAGAGAGCACGAATTCCTTTGGTGTCACGACGCTTGAGCCGTTGCAGCATGGGGATGACGAAAGCAGCTGTTTTGCCGCTTCCTAAATTGGAATGGTCAGTTCTAGATACGTCATAAGTAGTCGAGAAGTGAGAACGAAAATAGGCTAACTAGAAAAGTACACGAGAAAAGACCGTCTTACCTGTTCGCGACATTGCCACAACGTCCTTGCCATCAAGTATGCATGGAATGGTTTTCCTCTAAAGCAAATCATACATGGAAAAGTATGCTTTGGAAGCGATTCAAAACTGATCCCACCTGTATAGGAGTGGGCTGTTTGTAGCCTTTCCTTTCTACACCTTTGAAAACAGTATGGTCAAGTCCTGAAAACAGACTTTTCACTTGCGTCAACGAAAATGAACAGTATCAAGACAAGTAAACACTTACCCATAACCTGCCATCCTCCTGCTTTCTTATGCCTTCGGTTCTGCTCAGTTTGTAACTGCGAGTAATCGCCTTCCTCTTCGTCTGACATAACGAGCTGCAATTGGGATTCCAAAAATCAAAGCCAATACTAACAATAAGACAGTTATGTAGTGACGATGATCGAGAAAGAAGTTGATAACAGTAGAAAATCTCAAAAAGTGAATTCAATGCTTAACTTAGGTATTCTTACGAAAATATTGAAAGCAGAGAATCATACAAACTGCAAGAGTTTAGAACATATTATGAGGAATGGAGATTCAGGAAAACTGCATATTACTTTTCAATCTAAATCGAAATTCATGGCAGATT